CGTTTTTTCCCATTATTAATATGTATATTATGTGATTAGATGACGTTGACAAGGTTGAAAAACTGCGTGCCGATCTTGAGCCTACGAATTCTTCGCGTAGTAGTATTCGTTTGTTTTGGGAACGTCCAGCTCGCCCGAATGGTGCAGTAGTCTCGTACACTATAATGTATGAACTGCAAACACAGGATGCAGTTGAGGAGAAGAAATGCATTACAGAAGTTGATTACACTGAGCTAGACTACCAACACAACGGCTATGTTCTGACGGGCCTGTTCACTGGCAATTACAGTATACGAATACGCACAAACTCTATGGCTGGTGAAGGAAAATTTTCGAGAACCATCTACATTTACATTCCAGTGAGTTTAGAATCAATTCTTTTTATTTTTACACAGTCTATATTTTACTTTTTTTCGCCTTAGCCTACCACTCCATCACCAGCTCTTATAGCTGGGATCTGTGTCGCATTATTGACGTTGTTGTCATTAATTGGGGGCACAATATATTTTCTGGTTCGCAAGCGTTTTCTTACGCCGCCATCTGATTTAAAAATGTTTCCCACCGTAAATCCCTATTATATCAGTCTTCAGTATATACCTGACGAATGGGAGGTGGCTCGAGACCGGGTTATACAACTGAATCCCCTTGGTCAAGGATCGTTTGGCATGGTGTACGAAGGAATATTAAAGGGTTATAATAACAGCGCCGAGGATACTCCGTGCGCCGTTAAAACTGTAAATGAAAATGCCACGGACCGTGAGCGCATGAATTTCTTAAATGAGGCTAGCGTGATGAAACAGTTTGACACCTATCATGTGGTCCGATTACTAGGAGTTTGTTCCCGTGGCCAACCTGCGTTGGTAATTATGGAATTAATGAAGAACGGCGACCTTAAATCGTATCTTCGCGCTCATCGTCCGGACGAGCGGGATGAGTTTGGCATGACATTGGCCGAAAGAGGTCTATCCTCGCAACCCCCTCCATTAAGTCGCATTTATCAGGTAAGTCTGCAAAGAAATTGTCCCAATCAGTCATGGAGAAATGGTCATGCCGCTTTTTGCAGATGGCTATAGAAATAGCTGACGGTATGGCCTATTTGTCAGCAAAGAAATTCGTTCATAGGGATTTAGCGGCGCGCAACTGTATGGTAGCTGCTGATTTAACCGTGAAAATAGGCGATTTTGGTATGACGCGTGATATTTATGAAACTGACTATTATCGCAAGGGTACAAAAGGTATTACGTATATCATAATAAAATGTTTGGCGCTAATGAAATTACGTTTTTCAGGCTTGTTGCCAGTACGGTGGATGCCTCCAGAGAGTTTAAGAGATGGTGTATATTCCAGTGCCAGTGACGTGTTCAGTTATGGTGTAGTTTTATGGGAGATGTCCACTTTAGCTTCGCAACCATATCAAGTAAGTGGGAACTTAAAATATTTCACAATTTTGCCCATTTATCATGAATTTTTATAGGGTCTGTCTAACGATCAAGTACTGCGCTATGTCATTGAAGGCGGTGTTATGGAGAGACCTGAAAATTGTCCAGACAAATTGTATAGTTTAATGCAAAAGTGTTGGCATCATCGACCAACCGCTCGTCCTACCTTTATGGAGATTATTCGCTATTTAGCAGATTTGGCTGATCCACATTTTCGTGAAGTTTCATTTTATCATTCAGAAGAAGGACAACAAGTTCTTGCTAAAGAAGTTGCTGGTAAAAAAACATTACATATAAGTTTACATATACATATATATTTTCTTTTTTCGAATAATTGTAAATGCAGAAAGAAATCAAAGATCTGGCGATGTGTTTGAGGAACCTGAGAACGATATGGAAGATGTAACTACACCACTGCGTATGGAAGAGTACGGTGGTTTTCAATTGGCTGAAGAAAATGACTCCTCTGGCGAGAATCAAGTTGAAAGTCCCATAACAATGAATATCGAACCTCCTCATTCGCCATGCAGGTAAATAATTTAAATGTCGTATCGAAATAAGAATCAGTAATATGTTCTGTAAATCCTTAGTCTTGGCTCGGCCATAGTTGTAAGCAGCACACCAGATGTCCAATCGAAAAATAGTCTGATTTTATCACAAAATTTGCATCATAACCAAGGCTTGAGTTCCTTGCCTTCAACATCAAGCGGTCTTGCACGAGTAAACAGTCAGTTGCAATCACATATCCAACCCCATCAGCGGCAACTCTATCCACCCTCCCAGCGGCGATTTCTTCACGGCATTGTACGAGGCACGGTAGATGATGTTGATGCGTATGTGCAGCCAGATTACGAAGAAACCGAAGAAAGAGGAAGGATCGGAACGGACGAACGTGGTTACGAACTATATGATCCAAGTCCAAATTATAGACAACAAGTTTCCTGCCATGCAGGCGATGATGAAGAGGATAACTTTGCCATACCGTCCGCAGGGCAAAACTTATTGTTAGGCTCTAGAGAACGTCAGATACTGCCGAGGATTATGCCTTTGTCGAGCTCAGTGCCTGATGACGTTATTGGTCAACCAACTGCATCTTCATTACACCCTTCCACAGCTTCTGCTGCGTCATCGAATACATCTTCGAAAGCAACAACGACTGGCAAATATTCTAACCTAAAAGCTGTTGCCGATTCTTTAGGCAATAGCTTGATGCCTACCCTTTTGCGTAAAAATATACGCTTTTTCAATCACAAACGTTCCGGTAGCAATGTAAGCCACAATAGCTCCAGTTCTAATCCATGCGCACCAATTAGCGGAGCCGGTGATGGGAGTAGCAGTAACTTGACTCGTGGCGGCCGTGGCAAAAGTATGAGCGGTCAAAACTTGGGAACCATAGAAAGTGGAGGTAGTGGGAGCGCGGGCAGTTTTTGCTCCAATCCACGATTTTTCACACCAGCAGCGAGTATAAGTGAAAATCCTAATTACCGAAGGCTGAATGAATCGTCATCCGTTGAAGGTGGTGGCGACGCAAGTAAACTGAAACCAAAACTTCCCTCAACTTCTACATTTACTATCAGTTCCAATCCCAACTATCAAATACTGGACGAATCTCTCAATAGTTCGGGAACGTCTTCGGCAAATCCTAATTATCAATTGCAAACGTGTCCAATAACAACTACATCCCAAAGTAGTGAAAATGCCAACTATGTAATCATGAGTGAACCGCAGCAGAATGAAGATATCGGAAATACCGTGAATGTAAGTGAGAATCCTAATTATCAGATGATGGGTCCCTCTCTCTTACTCGCTACAACTGCCACCGAAATGCAAGCCACTCAGCTTGAGCGCGACCGTTTGGATAAGTTTTCATGTTCACCATCGTCATCTTCCTCTCCGCATGAATCCGAAGAAGATTTTGAAACTACCGACGGGATGAAAATGGATCGGATACCGTTAAGTCGGCGAAGCAGCAATAGTCAATCCCAACATAAACGCAACAGCGATCGAAGTCGAAGCAGCAGCGGTCATAGCCATGCTACAACACCGACTAATACACCCTCAACAAGTACTGGAGGGCATGGAACACAGCTAAGGCTATTACCAACGTCTACGTTTTCGCTCAAGGAAAAATGGCTGAAACAGCAGCAACAACAACAATCCTCACCACCACCTCCACCAAACGGTTTTGTAGGACGAGAAGCGTAGAATCTTGCTGCAGCTATATCCTGTAAATAGCTTATGTTTGCTTATCCACAAAAAATATTAATCAGGCGCACAAAAAAAAATGTGTACGAATTTTAAAAACTCCCTAAGCCAACAAGCTTCGTTTATAAAGTGAGAGCTGAACAAACGAACTGTATATAGGAAATATATATATATATATATATATTTTCTGTAAAAAATAATGAGGATTTTCCCACACTTTCTTTTATGCGAAAAGAACAAAACAAAACAAAGAAAATCACATTATAATTTAATACATAAGACATCACGTCATCGTTATTTTGTGAAACCTTCAAATTAAAATTAGCCACACCAATCAAAGAACAACAAACTGTTGCATTAAGAACACATTAAAAGAACGATAGGTTTATATAATGTTCACTATTTACATCAAATTACATGCTTATTTACATTCATGCATATATAGGTACATACATGTATATTAGATATACACGGTTTGGTACAACTTCATGGAATTATTTTTCAGTTTCATTATGTACACATGTAGGAGGAAATGCATACGTACGTTTGTGAGCTACTTGTAAGCTTACTGTAATCCGGTTCATATTACGTACAGAGTCCGTTCATATGCAAAAGCTAATTATAAAAGTTTGAATAAGACGGTAAGGATTCGGACAGAAGATTTCTAATACATCAATTGACATTTTCATATGGTTCCATCATAGACTTCCATTTAATCACAAGATCTTTTGAATGCTTTTTTAAAAGTATCCGGCTGAATTTTGCCATATTCTTACAACATCCAAAAATATGAATCAGCGAACACATAGGTATAAAATTAAGAATATAATTCTATGCTTAGTTAGTCTTGACTGTCCTTTCTTTTACGGGCTTCAATTTTCGTATTCTGAAGATCACGAAGCGTAAAATAGAAGATTGCAACTCCATAGACACAATCTTGGAACAATTTTACAAGAAAAGCTGTAGAGTGGAACTGTTCCAACCACATATGAAAAATGTCAATATTTTTTGAAAACATCAGAATATATTCAGGATATGTTAAGCAATAATTTACGGTATGTAAGATAAAAAGCTCGGCATCTGAAAACGAAATTTGAAAATCAATCATTTTTAAATTTGTTCAAGAAATTCTATATCGATTTGTTCTATTCCGCTCTTTTCCTTCTGTCCGTTTGAAGCAGTTTATAAGACTGATGGGAATGTAAAAACTTCTTTTTATACGTATTTTTGGAATAATGGCGGAAATAAATCAAAAAATATCCGAAAGATTCGGGTGGTAGGTTCTGACATGATTTCAAATTTCAAGATTGCACATAGATTTCTCTTCATGTAAAAATAGCTTAAAAACAAGACCATAAATTATGTATGTTTACGTGTTTACGGATGTCTACACAGGTTTTTGGAAAAACTTTGACTTCAATTTTGGTTACGCATTTATGGAAAAGACGCTCATTTTCGTTAAGGGTTAAAGGTTTGATCTTGTTGTAAAAAGAGTAGTTTCGTCCTAATTGGTCCGCAATAAACTCTGAATTGTAGTCAATTTTGTAATTAATTGAAACAAAATTTAACAGAAGATAAAAATACCGTCCGGTTACCCATAACTTTGTAAGATGTGATCACTTAATGATACAAACTTGAATTTAAGCGACGTACTGTAAAGTTTCTTTCATGTAAAATTGTAAAAAAGTCTTTTGAAATTATTCTAAATATTATTTCATACTTTTTTATTAAAAAAAAAAAATTGATTGAATCTGTATTAAAAGATTCTTTAAAGTTTACTAAAAGAGCTTCTATAAAGAAATTTTAAGGAAAGTTTGGATAAACAAAAACCATCCTAAGACGACTGAATGTATCTTGACTTTCTCGTCGTATTGCTGCTGTTGTAGAAGCTGGAGTAATTGCGACATACGATATATAAACACGTGCATAATCATCATCATTATTGTTCCTATCAGTATCGTTAAAAAATTAATAGTAAAAACTATAACAGCAGCCATGCCATGTATATATGATTGTGTTTATATATATGTATGTATGGTTGTATGTACACATATATGCATAGATAACGATCAGAGTACAAAACCCAATTTTTATTTTACTGAAACATAAATATATAATAGTTAAGCTTTTATAGAGTCTTTCTCTCTCACTCTCTCTTACTCTTTCTCTCCATCGCTTTTCCACAAATTATCCTTTTTTTTCTGTTTAAGTTAAACGCTAATAATTAAAACGACAAGGATAAAAGAAAGTATTGGGTGTGTATTGAGTGTATGTGTGAGTGTGTTTATTGACACGCGCATGCACATGCACACATGCCTACAAACACATTAAAAACCAGCTAAATATGTAGATAGATACAGATTATATATTATTTTGCTCGTAAGCAACAAATTGTAGATATCGCATATGATCGCTTATATAGGACGATCAATCAATCAACCAATTTAAAAAAAAATCACACAATAAAAAGTAGCTATTTATACATAATTAAGAGGAAATTTGAATAATTAACACAAATATGCCCAAACATACATATACACACACGCACACACACAAACACACGAACACACACATACAAATACAAGTACAGGCATACACATAAATACAGATTTGTTTACTATGCAAACAATAGATATTTTTTATACTAAAAAGACTGAAATATATAGTTCCTTTGTTCTTATGTAAATTTATATTTATAATAAAAACAAAACAACAACAAAAAAAGAAAAAATGTTTAAAAAAATATATATATAAATACCATACATTAGAAAGCATCTTTACGTAATAATAAAACACATTGGAATTCATGCCGTGTTGCTATTATTATTATTATTATTATTATATTATCATGATTACACTGCAAACTCAACTAAACCTTATTACTATTAAAAAAAAAACAAAAAAAAAACAAAAAAAAAAAATGAAGAGACACGATAACAGTAGTAAATAAATTAAGTAAATCTCTACAAGAAAAGTGTATAAAATGATTACAATTAAAAAAAAAATAAAAATATAAAGTGGTATCCATAACCTAAGAAAACATAAAACCATTTACTTACACTTAAATGCGGACGCATACACATACATTGAAAATAATAATAATAATAATTTATAAAATACCATAATTTAATTTTTTATTTTTTTTATTTAGTGTAAGTATCTCTATAAACTGAAGCTAAAGAACATCATTATTATTAGTATGTATACAGCGAACGATATGAAAAAAGGACACAAATACATATATGTATACATAAATACATACATATATACACATATGGATACAAGCCAGAAATACCTACAGACACATTAAAGCATCCATCTAGCACACCCACACAGAGATAAACGTTTGCAATTTGCCGGATGCTTTAAACAATTAATAAATTTCTCGGCCCATATACACACAGGCACACACACACAAAGAGAAAACACACTCACACACACACATGCGTATGCTGTTGTAGTTAGAAATGCAAGTAAAAAAATTAATATGTAAAGTTATGATTATTTAAAATAGTGGTAAAGAACGCAAATTGTGTCGACTGTGTACATGCATATGCGTACATGTACAGAGCGGAGAGGACAGCCAAGCATATTTAGTACGTTATGGATGTTAATAGAATTTAGGTAAACACAATATACTAATGAAAAATATAAATAAATAAATAAAGAAAAAACAATTTTTATTTTATTACAACAAATCATTATTAATGTTTTGTTCTCAAACCTTGATTAGGATGATAATAGAATGAAAATTGTTTCAATCATTTTTATATTTGTCATTTCATCACTTTTGCGCACAACCCGTCAAATATTTATAACAGCTAGCTTGTGTTATATCCATAAATACGTATTAAAGGCTTTGTATATCTTTCGTATCCTTCGTATATACATCCTCGGACAGCGTAAAATTGCACGCTAATTTAACGTGAGTTCCTCCTAAAATACTTCAGACCGCAGGAATTTTGATAGAAAGCCAACTTTCGGGCACCGATTAGGTTTACAGAGCGACGAGTTGTACTTACAGCCATCTCTGTAGCTGTACATAAAGAGTGAAGCTAAAATCTTGGGCAAATATTTAGAATGCTATTAAATTTGCATGCACATGTGACTGCCATAATTACGGCCCGAAAGTACGCCAACGCAGTCAAGAGTGGCATGACATCAAACTAAAATATAATAATACTTAAGCGTACTTGGTCGACGGGCCCTGCGTAAGATCAAACTCAGTCTATGGACTGCGAATTATGTCCTGAGTTCTAGCTTCCCCTGGCAAGGTGCAAATGCTTTTCTTTCTGTTTTTTAGCTTTGTTTTGCAAAGGCCGTCATTTCGTAACTAATGAATGAAGAGATGATTCTCATAAACTTGTTAGAAAATTTATTAATATTGTTGTTGTGATATGTTTCTATTAGTGTTAGGGAAGAAATATTACCATTAAGTGTGAGCGATTTTAGCCGGTGTTATTTTAATATATAGAAAAGCGTTGATAAATTATAAGCTGCCGTATTATTATGTGAAAATAACACAAATGAATGTTTTTTCTATATGCAAGAAAAATTACAAGCCTATTTAAAATACGACAAAGAAAAAGTGAGCTTTTCACCATGAAAAGCTTACCACTCAAAAAAATGTAGATCTAAAAGCCAGATATTATGAGCCAAGTTCAAATAGATTCTAACAAGTGCTCGCTGATTCACTTCTCCTTTAATTTGCCAGAATTCGAAGTTCAAATACATTCTAACAAGTGGTCGCTGATTCACTTCATTTTATCCGAAACGGATAGAATAACTCACGCACGTCTGAATTGAATATATTTTGTAATTACATTTGCTTTCAGCTAAAATTGACCAAACTGCCTGAAACCATTGAAACCGCCACCAATGTAAACGCACTTGAAAAGACTTAAACTGGTGCAAGGATAACCAACCAAGATATAGGCTAGCCCAGCGTAAAGTGATCTCAGTGGAAAGCGCTACGAGCCGGATGAAGTAGATTCGTCCCACCAGCTACTATGACCTTCGCAGATTTCTCCTCGATTTCTGTCACAAAAAAAAAAAAAAAAAAAAAAATCAAACATCTAAAGTATTTAATAAGGGTGATAGCATCCAACCCTTTTCACACGATTTCAAATTAACATGGGCCCACCAATGGGAGCAAATACATTTTTTTTTACACAAACTGTTCTGACACGAATGCCAAAAAAAAACCTTTTTTAAAGAAACTTATATATACGTATTAATGGCTGATTTAATTCGCGTGGGCGAATCTTTCTATCCATTTATCTCCATTTCTTTTCAAATTTTTATCTTCGAC